CCGCTGTGTGGGGAGGGGGGGGGGGGGGGGGGGGCGCCATCTTAAGGGGCAAAATCGTTGTTTGAATGTGGGACAATTTTGAAAAACTTAACTGAGGTACTAGCAAAACTGTGTGTTTTGCTCTGGAAACACACATTTTTAGAGATTTTACCAGCTTATCCTCTAAAATGACCTAATTTGTTCAATTTTAGGGAGGGGCGCCAAAAGGGGAGGGGGCGCCAACAGGGGGGGGGGGGGGGGGGGGGGCGCATTTTTGGCAGGGGCGCCAACAGGCTACGTTACGCCACTGCCCTCTAAGAACTTGCCCTCTAAGTAATTTTAAGGAAACCTTATCCATGAAGTCCCTCTCTTACCTGATTTGTCTTTTGTCAAGGGTTATTATTTGATTTGATTTATTCTATATTCTGGCAGTACACCATTATCAGAAATAAGAATTGCAGTCTGCGCAGGGAATTGCTAGTCATAGATAATGCACGATACCTATTAAAATACAAGTTGAAATGAAATGATATTTGATTTGCTTATTTCAATATGCCAGCTTTTCATTTGTTGGTAGCAAGATCAAGTAAAATCTATATTCTTAAATTATCATTCTTCAGAGTTCCTTCCAAGGATGACTTTTACTGATGAAGACATTGCAATCTTGAAGTCATCCTTGGCTGCACATGGCCAGGAACATCTTTTAGCTCACTGGGAAGACCTATCATCAGATCAAAAAGATGATCTTTATCGAGATATACAGTCGATTGATTTTACCAATCATCTGAAGAGCTTTAAAAGATGTATGCAAAAGGAACTCTCTGCACCTGGAAAAGAGGATTATCTCAAGCCACTACCCCCTGATGCATGTGAAAGTGTATTCATTTCAAATAAGATCAATGAAAAGTGGACTAACCGAGGGCTGAAAGAGATAAGTGAAGGGAAAGTTGCTCTGCTTCTAATGGCTGGTGGTCAGGGTACACGTCTTGGTGTCCCTTATCCTAAGGGAATGTACAATGTTGGATTGCAAAGTGGCAAGTGTTTATATCAATTACAGGCTGAGCGTGTACGTAAGCAAGAACAATTGGCAGCTGAAATGTACGGATCCTCCAAAGCTATTAGATGGTACATAATGACCAGTGAACATACAAAGAAAGCCACTGTTGACTACTTCAAATCTAATGGATGGTTTGGTTTGTCTGAAGAAAATATCATCTTCTTTGAACAAGAAATGATACCTTGTTTATCTCTTGATGGAAAAGTGATAATGGACAGCAAGTTTTCGATCGCTAGAGCACCAGGTGGTAATGGTGATCTGTATAGGTCCATGGGAAATGAAGGGGTGCTGCAGGACATGCTCAAAAAGGGTGTCAGGAGCGTACATTGTTATTGTGTTGATAACATTTTAAACAAAGTCCCTGATCCACTTTTCATTGGATGCTGCCTTGATCGACAATCGGATTGTGGTGCAAAAGTAGTGAGCAAAGCATACCCCACTGAAGCTGTTGGTGTTATTTGTGAATGTAATGGGACCTGGAAAGTTGTAGAATATAGCGAAATTTCAAAGGAGACCGCTAATATGGTTGACAGTGAAGGAAAATTATTATTCTCTCAAGGAAACATATGCAATCATTATTTCACAACTAGTTTTCTAACAAAAGTGATTGAGGGAAAAGAATCCCAACTCATTCATCATGTTGCTAGAAAGAAAATTCCAACTATCAACAGTTCAGGAGAAAGAGTTCTGCCAACCGAGATCAATGGTATCAAGATGGAGAAGTTTGTGTTTGATGTATTCCAGTTCTCAGAGAAGTTCACCGTTCTCGAGGTAGCCAGAAACGAAGAATTTTCTCCTCTCAAGAATCCTCCTGGAGCCCCAAAATGCTCACCTCAGACATGCTTGGAGGACCTTTCCAATCAACACAAGAGATGGATCATCAGAGCTGGGGGAACTTTCAAAAATGAAGGACTATGTGAGATCTCACCCTTGGTGAGCTGTACTGGTGAAAACCTTGAAGATTTAGTCAAGGACAAATTTTTCAGTTTGCCTTTACATCTTGAAGTGACACACAAAAATGGTTACCACAACGGACACACCGGTACAAATGGGTTACACAGCAAGCTTTGAGAAGGAGCTCACTTGAATTGTAGTGTTATATAATAGTCGTTTTACCGATGATTGATTTTTTTCGGAACAAGCCTTAGGGTTAATATAAGTCTTTGCAATGATTTTGTGTGGCAGCGATGAAACTGATGAACATTTTACTTAAACGATCACTCATTTTCCCAGATCAGTATGTTGCAACTAGTTAGAATGCGTAATTCGTGTAGAATATCAAGGTAGCTAGAGGATTTAATAGCTGAGAATCATCACAATATGCTGTAGTGTTATGTTACATGTTCAACTTAAGGAGCTGACGAACCTTTAATCAATAATATTTGTAATTTAATGTTTAAATCTCCGATTGAATAAATATCAGATTCTTAGAACCTGTTGTAATAGTATGTATGATATAAATTTGAAACAAAAGTTCATTTTGTTAATTAATAAACTTCACAAGCAGTCTTCACACCTTACACTTGCACTTAACAAATATCATTTGTCATGCATGGTTTATCTACTCGGATTGATTAGATTGGCCGGTATTCTACCCTCCCAAAGATTATTTATATCTAAATGAGAAAACAAATTTGCGTGAAACTATATTTGTTCATTACTGTCGTGAAAGTTTGGCCTCACTTTTTTCTCTCTTCGTGCTCGGAAATTTCAGTTGAGTAGTGCATGATTACTCAGAAAATGGTTTCTTTTATGGGCATATAAATATGATCGTTTGTTGATTTTTTGCCATTGTTTAAGTAAATTCAAGAAATAATTGATTTTCAAAATATATAATTTTCATCTGGAGATTTTAAGACCATGGTCACCAATAATTATTAAAGCTGCATTCAATTCGTTGTTAATTTAATCAAACAAGTAACTTTGCTATTGAATTGAGAATATGAAAAATCGTTATATTAAGTTACAGCGAGGTCATCGTTACAATTTGATTGATAATTAGACTGAAAAAATATAAATTATAATGGCTGCAATAATTGAAATCATAAAATAGAATCATGATTGGTTTACAAACTCTATAATAATAAGTCTTAATACAGTATGTTAAAAGTTTCGTTAATAGTTCAAGATATTTCAAATTAATTTCGGCCAGTTTATTAGACAGTATGATTTTATTTTAGCTAAACCGGTTTAATCTTTAAAAACTTTGCACGTGTATGCTGTGTTTCATAGTTGATTTCGTTCATAGTTCATTAATCATTATATTATATTTCCGCAGACACTGTGTTTAATTGATTTAAGTGGTAAGAGTGAGTATATCACATGTGACCAGTTAAGCCTTATAACTTATAGTAGTAGTAGTAAATCTTTCAAAGTACGAAATATCTCTTTAAAAGAGCATCCTAGGCACCTTATAGATATCAAAACGCATAAAAAAGAAAACAAAAACATCAACCATCTTCTAACTTCTTCCACTCCTCCCTATCTAAAGCTAAAAATCTAAGGTCTTCGAAATCAGTCAAATTCTTAAGTCTAATATCAAGATTTCTACTAGTCAAGTCTTTTCTAATAACATCTAATAAGTTTAAACATGGTCTACCCCGTCTCCCTTCCATAAAAATATCAGAATTTATAGCAAATAACATAGAGGTGTATGCTGGTGAGTCTTCCTGTCCTCTTAAGATATGTCCTAACATTCTCCATCGAAACTTAGAGACTCTCACAGACAAGGGAGTGACATAACAACGAGCATAGAGTGCCTCATTAGAAATAACCCCAGTAGGCCATCTGATGTTGAGGATTCTTCGGAGGTGTTTGCGATGAGCAATATCAAGTTCATTCAACGAAGCTAGTGGTGCAGCCCAGGAGTTGCAGTTGTAGAGTAGAATAGAGACTACTTGTGCCTCGTAGATTTTGATCTTCCTTTGGACTGAAATCTTGCTCTTCATCCAAACTTTCTGAAATTTACTAAAGGCAACATTACCAAGGAATATTCGATTCTTGATATCCTTAACAGTGCACATCAACGATCCTAAAGTTTTGTTAGAGCGCCACTCTTCATCACCTCTATACACTTTTCCAACAATCACCTTGCGTTTAACAGTGGGTTTAGGATCTGCTAAATAAAAATGGACAAATTCAGTCTTGGAAGAATTGATATGAAGGTCCCACTGCTGGAATATATCTTTAGCGATAGGAAGCATTTCTTTGAGTGGAGCAAGTTCAGTGTTATTAAAGTCAATATCATCAGAGTATCCTGTTTCGAGTGGCATGAATTCTTCTGAGATAGGAGGATTAGGGATTGGATGATTCACTGGGTAAGGTGTTGATGATACTTGGGAGAGTACAGATCTGAGGTGAATAAGTGCAGCGGCTTCAACAACAGTAAATAGATTACCTGATAGTGCATCTCCTTGAAATGCTCCAGTTGTGCTTTGGAACTCAATTGATACAGTATTATTGACTTTTACTTTCAACACTGTGTTTGATAGTAGGAGCCGTACCATCCTAATTTCATCACTAGTACAGCCAGCATCTTCAAGAACATTGAGTACTGTTTCTCTGCTGATGGTGTCAAAGGCACTTGACATGTCTATACTCATTCTGTGGTAGCTCCAATGCTTTCTAAGTACCACTGAGGTTAGCATACGTTGAGACCAAATTATATCGCCACAACTTCTACCTCTCTTGTAAGCACTTTGTGTAGGACCGGTGTACTGATCTAGCTTGCCTTGGATACGTTTTAGGGTAATCATTGACAGGTTATAAGGTTAAAAATAAAGATACGCCCCAGTTTTCCAAATGAGAACCTATCATACTGTAATACCCCAAAAAGCAGTCAATAGAGTGAACTCTTGCACACTTCCATAAATCCAAAGGCATTTGGCGTGAAATTTAAAAGTCATATCACGACTTAAACCCACACCTCAAATTTAAAAGTTTAAACACTTCACCTGATCAGATAATGTCTGGAGACGGAGTGTCTCCTCTGGAGGTTACACTAGAGAGTGTCCGGGCCACTGCCTCCAACTACAACATCCCCCCAGATGTGAAGTACGCGTACGGAACAGCTGGATTCCGGTGTAAAGCGGATATATTACCTCCTGCTGCTTATAGAATGGGATTACTCGCTGCCCTCAGGTTATTATAATACAATGTGCTCTCGATTATTTGTACTAGAAATTTGATCAAGAGCATTGGGAAAAACATTTGTGCAAGGCATTCACCCAAATTTTTCGAATAGATCTGCGAGGAATTCAAAGATATTCAGTTGGAGTAATTACTTTGCAGTTATCCAGATTTAATTATCAGAGCTAAATCAGTGAAGGCAACTATCGGAGTGATGGTGACAGCCTCCCACAACCCACCAGAAGATAATGGTCTGAAAGTGGTGGAACCCCAGGGTGAAATGCTGCTGCCTAGGTGGGAGCATTACTCTACTCAGCTGTCAAACACTGACTCTGCTTCTCTTGTTGAGGTTAGCATGGGTGTGGGTGTGGGTGTGGGTGTGGGTGTGGGTGTGGGTGTGGGTGTGGGTGTGGGTGTGGGTGTGGGTGTGGGTGTGGGTGTGGGTGTGGGTGTGGGTGTGGGTGTGGGTGTGGGTGTGGGTGTGCTTTGTTTGTTTCTATCAATTTCGGTTCGTTAATCTGTAACGTAAGTGTGGTGATACTTGACTTTGTTCTACTTATTCATTACACTACGTCTGCTAGGATGTGGCACTCATTATTACATGGATTGAATTTCAGTCATTGGAGAAGAACTTCAAGTTCTTTTTGTTGATCAAATTAACAAAATAATGTTTGCAAAATTCTGCAGCCGATCAAATTTTCGTATTGGGCACGTATCAACATTCAACAAAGTTATAATATACACAATGTTACGTTATGTGTACATTGTACTCACCACATATAACTACTGTAAAGTGTAAATCCTTGAACATAATATGAACATTAAATATAAAATAACAATTTTACCAAAACGTACACCAGGTGCTGCAGGACTTTTCTGATGAGGCGGAAGTGACCCTGACGAGCTCACGTGGGAGACTGGTAGTAGGACGGGACACTCGGGAAAGTGGACCTGATATTGTGGCTGCTGTTACTGCTGGCGCTGAAAATTTACAATGTAAGGTAAGATTTTATGACCATTTCCTCCGTGGAATAAGATATTTTGAATCACGTTTAAGAATTTAAATTTGTAATCCAAAACAGTTGAAGTACTACGTGATTGAAATTTAGGTGCAGGTCCGAGTTTTTAATCTCAATTATCTGAGTACCACTCCTCTTAGTGGGCGAGAAGGATGTAACACGTGGTTACTGACACGTGGTTACTGACACGTGGTTACTGACACGTGGTTACTGACACGTGGTTACTGACACGTGTCTGATTACAGGTACATAACATCGGAGTGTGCACCACACCCCAGCTACATTGGATTGTCAAGCAAACCAACATCTCCAAACCTAACACTCTCCAGGACTACTACCGGACTTTTGCTGACAGCTTTATACATTTGTATGGAAAGGATGATGTGAAACACTCAATTAAGGTTCGGTTTGTTTAATAATGGGAAATAGTAAATTAAAGACGTTTAATTTCTCTATTAAATCAAATCTAACGGGTGATATTCTTAACAGCTAGGTTAAGACAATTATGGCAGCGCAGTTCGCGTACCAAGAAGAATACGAGTTTGCACTTAAACTAGTCCAAGAAGTATCCCAGACGTTCACTCCCGCGTTCCACACCAACAAGGATATCGAGACTAAATCATTCGGATCGGATCTTGTCACCAAAACAGACCAAGCAGTCGAGGCAGCAATATTCAGTGCGATAAGAACAAAATATCCCTCTGATAACACAATCGGAGAGGAATCTTCGGAGGGAGCAATATTCGATAATCGCAGAACTTGGATCGTAGATCCAATAGATGGAACAACTAACTTTGTCCACAGTAACCCCGAGTGTTGCATATGTATAGGGTTCACCGTGGACAAGACCTCCAAGTTCGGTGTTATCTACTGCCCAATACTCAGGGATCTCTACACAGGTAGGCGGGGTTTTGGAGCGGCTCTGAACGGCCGCCCTATCAGAGTGTCTGAAACAACAGCCCTGAATAGAGCGCTGGTGTCCACCTACGTGATACCAAGTAAAGGTATGGGGTTGAGGGAGAGTATGGAGAGTATCCAGAGGGTGAGTGGGGAGAGAGAAGGGTGTTGTCATGGTCTCAGGCTGGGAGGGAGCAGCGCTATCATGATCTGCCAACTTGCTGCTGGTTAGTTTACACCTACTTTTACTTCTAGTTTAATTTCTATTGGGTTTTAAATTTTGTGGCATTAGCCAAAATCATATCCAGAGCTGAGGGAATATGACTATGATTTCAAAATCAGCCCCCAAAATTAAGTCTTTCTGTTGTACATTATTTTGTATCCCTAATTTAATTCTCGTTTCAGGAAATGTTGACGGATTCTGGTTAGAAGGGCTCCACATCTGGGACATGGCAGCAGCAGTGGTCATAGCAAGTGAAGCAGGAGGAGTAGTGATATCCACTCTACCCGGTGAAGAGTTTGATCTGACTCGGAGAAGAGTGGTAGTGGCCAGCACTGAACAGTTGGCTGGCGAGATAAGAGATAGGATTGTCAGGGCGCCAGATGACCTTTTTAAGAGAGAACATTGCTGAAATTAATAGTTTATTTATAATACGTTATCCATTAGATGCATAGAGCATAGAGCTGGTTTATTTTTGATTTAAATATGATTTTTAGATTTTGTACTCATTGATGTTATATTTTTATTCTATGGTGAATTCGTGTTTTCGGTTTATATTATACATCAGAAAATCGGTTTACATACATCGGAAAATCAGACTTATCGTATCTTTGTTTGCATCCATTTTTGCAGAATTTTGAAGTTTGTGATTCAAAATAATTACCACCCGATGAGTATTTTAATTAACACCATTTTGTAAATTGAAATATTATTTTCAATAAAAATCATCAAAATCACTCTGTTGACTACCGTGCTTGGTTTGCAGTGAAAAGGATGTAATTACTGCAAAATGTACAGAATCGGTCATAAATTTCAAAAATGTTCCGTCTTTCGAATTGATCACGTTCTCATAATAATAAATTTTAATATTAACGGTTTCAACACGTATTATAAATAATATAATATAGATTATTTAATTAGCCCGTTGTTTCAGGTAGACTGCGCTAACGGGGTGGGAGCTATTGCCCTGCGGACCATAGCACCTTTACTATCCGATCATATCGACATCACTATCTGTAATGATGGTTCTACTGGGAGACTCAACGAAAACTGTGGAGCTGACTTTGTTAAGGTATATTAATTAAAAGGGCTTAACTTTAGAGAGATTTAGGGATATTTAAAGAGTTTTACATTCTGGTGATATGATCCTAGTCCCATGGGACAGGAATAAATAAGAGCTATTAATTAGTTCGTTAAATGATAATTACTAGATATCTGGACCGGTCACGTGATTATCAGAAGGACTGCCTCGGCGCTCGATCTAAGTCAGGCCAAAATGCTATCAAATCTTGAAATCGTTTCATCTGTTTGATAAATATGTAGCTCAGTTTATATTTTTTAATTCATTTTTTTACGACTGTCTAAAAGTCTGATAAAACGAAAGCTCCCGAATCCATTAAATGTGTTTTGACAGTTAACATATATCATAACTGTGTTACATTCTAGCCAGCTAGTAATAATTTAAATTATAATCATAACCATGAATGCAGATGAATGCTTACACGCAACAAAATTACATATATCTATGAACAATTTCATGGCTGAATGAACTTGAAAAATCTCAGTACTCGGAAATTTCAGAACTCAGAAATCTCAGAACTCAGAAATCTCAGAACTCAGAAATCTCAGATCTCAGACTAAGTTGCAGCTTTAAATGTCTTAAATAAAAGTATAAAACAAGGGGTAAAATTATCTTCAGTCCTTTCCTTGTTTATCATTGAATGAAGGCCTTATCTTGATAGAAGTTTATCAGTTTCCCAAACAGCCTCTCAGTTTTTCTTTGATACATTTTCATCTTCCCAATTCTTCCCATGATTAGTACTTCATGTTTTCACTGTTACAGATTTCTCTCCTCCAATCTGCCTACAGTACCTGACACTACTGTCACAAGCAGCAGAAGATTGTTTTATCTTCACTGCTTGTAACAGCTGGTTAATGACAATACTACTGGAAATCATCCCATTCTCAGATAAGGTTGTTAGTTTAAATAATTATCTATTTAGGCTTCACCCTTAAATTATTGGCACCTGTTCTGTAGTCACCTAGATACAAACATTACCATAATTTGAGGGTGAAATAGCCATCTTATAAGATACCAGATGAACAAATTAGTAATTTATTTTGATTCGATTTATAACAAGTTATAAGTTTATAGCTGTATAGCTGTCAACTGTCATGACGTTATAATCTGATCATCTGAAAACTTAAATAGAAAAGACACGAGTTTTCTGCTAAGACCAGTGGATAACTTTCGTCAACTTTTTATATACTATACCAAATATACCTTAAACAAAAGTACATTTAATTATATACTTACTGAAGCACTTTTCAAACCCGTAACCAGACTTGTGGCCCACTGGACACTTTTCACAAATACTCCTACTTGAGTCATGATACGTCTTTGGTGGACAAATCTTACAGAATTCTATCTCCGTGATGAGTTTGTCGATCGATAAACACTTGACTTTTCCAACTTTACACTTCCATTCGCTGCACTCTGTCATGTTAACAGAACCTGCTTTACACTTCCATGTTATTTCACCAGTTTCTCCATCCGCCCACATATCTTGGGCTAGTGTAATGTCCAGGTCTGGTGGCAGTTGTTCTTTTACTCTGCAACTGTTTGTGTCATCACATTCAAATGATGTGTCATGAAACTGCATGCTATCAACCTTTACACAGGTTGCAGTAGTGGTCGTGTCTGAGTTGGGACCAGATGGTGTGTATCCTGGAGCACATGTCACCCTCACAGCGTCTCCTAACTTTACTTTATCTACAGGCTTCCCTCCGACTGTGAAAGTGAGTTTGGGGTCCCTTGAACAGCCATAAACAGTGATCTGGACATCAGTGTCAGAATATGGCGAGCTAGGTCTAGGTATAGGTCTAGACATGACTCTACAAGTGAAAGTTGTGTCTTCTGTAGCTCCTTTAACCTCCAGAGTAGCTGTCTGCCTATCACCATCCAAGGTTCCAGAGTTTGGAATGTAGTTACTGTTAGAGTCCGCATAAATTACAGTACCTGAAGGTTCCAGCCAATAAACGAAAACTCGGTTTGTTATTCCCGCTATTTCACAGGTTATAATGGCGTCTGTACCGGATTTAACCTCAGCGCTGAAGGTTGTTACCTCGTACACATTCAGTTGAACATCTGTTTCAGAACTTGTTGAGTTGGGATACTTTCCTGAAGTTACTCTGCAGGTGTAGGTTTTATCCTGATCTACATCGTGTCCCTCCACCTCTAGAGTCATAAACTGCGTCTGCTCGTTATCACGTTCTACCGTTGTTGGGTCAATACTGTTGCCTCCGCTTGTCAGCCATTCCACCGTCATTAAAATTAATATTCCTCTTGATCTTATCCAACACTCAATCGTTGCATTCGTACCCGCTTTTGTTTCAAAATGCATCGGGTAAACGTCTGAAATTAAAAAAAAGCGAATTAATTTGTCCATTTTTTAAGAATTGAACAGTAAAACTTGTGTGTATAATTTCAGTTTCACTTACCATACACCTCCAGCTGAGCTAGCTCTTGCTGTTGATCCTCTGGATCTTTACCGGTGACCGTACAAGTGTATGTTTTATCCTCAGTTACCACATCCCCACTGATAACTAGTTTTGTTGTCTGTTTTCCTGAATCTGTTATCTTCCCAAATTCTTGAGTATAATCATCTCCAAAGTCTGTCGATCCTGACCAAGTGATTGTGACGGGATCTTGGATTCCAGTTACAGTGCAAGTTAGAATGCTCGCTGTGCTAACATGAACTTCTAGATTGGTTACTTCCACATCTGAAATAATACCATTTTGATATTTTAATTTAGTTATTTAACCTAATTCGTTATAAACTTAATAAATTCAATTTACTTAATTAACTTGTAAGCTATTAAAAAATCTGATCTATCAGTGAAGAGCTCAAACATTGAGTTCCTCACCGGCCCGCCTCTTTACTCCTACCAATAGAACTTGCTGCATAGCTCTACTCTACTCTACTCTACTCTACTCTACTCTACTCTACTCTACTCTACTCTACTCTACTCTACTCTACTCTACTCTACTCTACTCTACTCTACTCTACTCTACTCTACTCTACTCCACTCCACTCCACTCTACTCTACTCTACTCTACTCTACTCTACTCTACTCTACTCTACTCTACTCTACTCTACTCTACTCTACTCTACTCTACTCTACTCTACTCTACTCTACTCTACTCTATTCTACTGATACTCTACTCTACTGATACTCTACTCTACTCTACTCTACTCTACTCTACTCTACTCTACTCTACTGATACTCTACTCTACTCTACTGATACTCTACTCTACTCTACTCTACTCTACTCTACTCTACTCTACTCTACTCTACTCTACTCTATTCTACTCTACTATACTCTACTGATACTCTACTCTACTCTACTCTACTCTACTCTACTCTACTCTACTCCACTCTACTCTACTCTACTCTACTCTACTCTACTCTACTCTACTCTACTCTACTCTACTCTACTCTACTCTACTCTACTTTACTCTACTCTACTCTACTTACCCCATCTACAAGCCTGAGGACTGGTTCCTTGTCCTGCTAGCACTGTTTTACCACCCGTACACGCATCACACTGGGTTACTTCTCCTCCCTCACTGTATTCTCCTGCAGCACAGCTCTCACATTGGCTTGTTCCTGTGCTCCAGTACTGACCGGGGGAACATGTTCCTGCCAGGGTATACTAGTTACTGTTTATAAATACTCTTCTCTATTATTATTTAATACATTTGATTTATTTTATTTTATATTTAAGGTATTACTGATAGTTGGTTATATATCCGGTTGGATATATTATTATATATATATCCAACTATCAGTATTTCAATCATGAGACTAATAAACAGCGAACTACCCCATCATTTTATATTTAAGGTATTGTTTGATGCTAGGATCTTTTTTGTTATTTTTTACTAAATGTGTGTGATCATCTAATAGTGTAGGTACTGTCACACTGTGACAGTACCTACACAATTAGATCTAAAAATAAGTATTTGTAGCAATTCCAGTTCTTCAGCAGGAAGATGGGAAGATAATTGTAATATTATTTTTTAACTTACCAATTTCATGCAGTATCCTATACTCCAATGCTACAGTGGTTTTTAGAAACGTGAACATCGGGTCGAAGTTGATAAAATTCGCACAATATTTAGGATAGAAGTATTTGAACACTTCCTTTCCGTTACAGGTCATGGTAAGGAAACCATCCGATTTCTTCAAGGTCCATATCTGTATGTCATCTGCTGGGATCTGGTAGCTTCCGCCACCCTCTCAGCATTCTCACCTGGAATCTCGTGTTTGAACCAACTTTGATCAGTCTGTTCAAACACTATGTAGGAAGTGGCTTATGCCCGAACTTTTGGATGCTAAGGCCCAAACTGGCTCACGAAACTGGTACCTACTGCTTTTTGATTCCTTTCTACATTATTGTCCCACTCCTTTGAAAATTTTGCTAGCACATTCCATCATTTCTTAAATTGTTGACTATTATCCATTATTGAGACGTTTTTAATATTTAATTTAAGAGGGTTTTTTATAGACTTTCAATCAGTGTGAACCGATAACTAAATACCAGATTATATATATTTTTAAAGTGAGATACATGTTCATGGAGCTCAAAGATCGATTAGTAAGTTTTGCAAATGTGGAAAAAAAATTTCAGGAGAGTGTTTGAAGAAAATCGTTGGGGATCCCATCGGTCCAACAGCTTATTCCGTTCTTGAGTTCTGGCCGCAAGCTCAACTGCAACGACTGTAATGGGGTTTTTTTGAGGGGCCTAGGGTACCTGTGACCGGTTCTAATGGGGTTCACTGTCAGGTCCAGTGGTAGGTGTTCTTCGAAGTACTGGCTAATGATTTCAGCCTTGTCTCGTTCATTATCTACAGTTGGTTGTCAGTGTTGAAACAGACACAGAGCCTGCACCCTTTTCAGTTTGCCTGAGTTACGAGCAAGCTTTCAAAAACATTCTCCGGTCCTTCGTCTATGGTGGCTATAGAGTTAGCTAGGCTGATTTGCTAACTCAACTCCTCAATGTTTTCAACCTTTTAGTATGTCGTTTGAGAGCCTGTTTGATTTTAGCTCTGAGAGCTGTTCCTGTCTCGTAGTATCGTTGTTGTTCCAGTTGTTGTAAAAGTTGTTTCCTTTCTTCAGACAGTATCTAATTCTGCGGACACGTGTACGGCCGAGTCCAAGGAATGATTCCTCTTTCGCTGGGCTTGCGAAAACCCAAGTGGAAACAGCAGCTTCTTTTAACTTCACCAAAAAGTAAATCAAATTGCTGTTCCTGTTGTTGGAGGTAAACAGGAGCTGATACAGTTTGCTCAAGTTTCTGACGGAGTTCTTGCTGATATTTGTTGTTTGCGGCCTGTTTGCATCCATCAAGTTGTTGGGTTAATAAGTCTTCTGAAATGCTCTGCCTCGACCCGTACAAAATGAAGCGCTGCGAAAATCTGCCTTGGCATAACAACAAGTTTGTGTCACTGCGTGCTTTTATGTACCTGCATATGACCTGGCAGTCAGTTAGCAGTGCCTTGCTTCTGGACAGCAGAGTATGAAGTCAATCTGTTGGAATAAAGGTTTACTCTCTGCTTCCTGGTTGCTCGATCCCG